CAAATAACTACTAATCTATCGATAACAACCTTATTAACTTCTTCATTTCGTAAACACATTAGAGATGTTGCAGTTTATGGTGATTTTCCATTATATTAAGAAGCTACATTACACTTACAATTATAAAGATTTAACTATAGGTGTAATGTAAGCGCTTATAACAAAAATATATATATAAAATGAAGGACGCGTTTTAGTAATAATCAAGGAGTTCCATAATCTGTACCGGTAAGTGCCAGTTCGGAATACGGCTGCAGATTTACAACCTTACTTATTTATATTAACTATAAGTCATCCTGAGAGCAAACACGAGTCCATGCAGTGGCTTAAAAAAAGCACAGACCCACCAAACTTTTTCAAGGCTTAAATCCACCCTACAGCCCGTATCTAGCCCCTAGTGATTATTGTCGGTTTTCCAACATATAGAAAGATTTTCGAGCATGAAGTGTTCATTTTTCCGAGCATGAAGTATTGAATTCATTTTCAGGTGAGATTAGAGAAAAATATTTTTATAGGTTATTGTTAAGTTACTCTCCCGCTCAGTATTGAATTATATTGAAGTGAATAAAATTTAGTGTTTATTGTAGTCCCCATCTACAATAAACACTAAATTTGGGTTTGGCTTCGATTCCCACACGGGACAACTATTTGTGTGAACCACAGATAGTTGTTTCACATCTGGGTGTTTTTCCACGTGAAATTTATGTATGTAAAACGTCCTTGCAACACAGGACAATGTTATTCTAAAGTGGGGGCAATGTCTTTAAAAAAAAAATATTCAGAATTTTCTGCTTATTCTTTTTAATGGATAAACCATGAGAATGCCTTGAACCGGCAAGTTTGTGTATTTTGGTGCCTTCATTTTACTGAACTCAATAACTTCAGTGAAATCAATTTCTTTCGAAACACAAACATAACGGAAATTAAAATTGCCTATTAATTTATTTTTACTAATTGTTTTTCCGCATCAAATTTGTATATTCTGTGTAGGTTTATGTAATTCGAATTTAAATTTAAGTTTTAACATTTTAACTAAATAAACATAAACAGTTACATATTACGTACAAGTATGAAGTGAATAAAAAACTTGTAAAATTAAGTCGGCTTTCTAAACTAGGGGCCTCACTCAGCTTTGCCGCCCCGAGCCTCTGAATGGCTTAGTCTGCCTCTGTATATATATATTATGCAGATTATTGAGCTCGAGAAAAGAAAACATCCTGTCTGCCCGCCGTATACGTATATACAGATTATCGAGTTTACTCCTTTGAATAGAGAAAAACTGACGAGATAGAGATGTCACACGGTGGTGGTTTGGAAAGAATCTGGATACTAGGGACGTCCGCAGAAGGCCATCAAAAGGTCAAACCATCCCTTTACATCAGCAGCAGCACCCTTTACATTAGCTGTCGACACCATCGAAGGAACCACACTCGACCGGCACGGTAACATCCCTGTAGACCCATTCGATAACAACTCATTAATCGTGCTCGCCGTGACCATGCCTTGATAAAAATGTTTCTGAAGTCAAAAAGGCACCGTTTTTCAAAACAACAAATCGCCTCTGAAAAGAACAAATAAAACAAACATACGGTCGAATCATAAAATGCCATAAACCAGAATCAGAACAAAAAGTTCGTCATATCAGATAAAGAGATTCGTTTTGCCTGTGTTCATGCCTTGCTACTTGCTGAATATAGGTGTAAGGCGTCCCGAAACGAACAGTTATGATCTTGACGGCAAAATTGTTAATATAACAAGTACTAGCATTTTTTTTTTTTTATGTGTGTTCGCGGATAACTTTGTCGTTTATGAACCGATTTTGATGATTCTTTTTTTGTTAGTAGTAGACATCCCAAGGTTGGTACCATGATATGATAGTTAACCCAGATCTAATGATGAGAGAAATCGAGGGCAATCCTCAAATGTTATAAGTATCAACAATGTTTTTTAATTTCGGTTTGAAGTCGGTTTTTTGTTATTAATTTATGATATAATACAGAAAACATCGACAACTGATAGGCTAGAGTGACTACAAACACTTAAATAGCATATGTCCGACCGTGGGTAAGATGAGGGACTAAAATTAATATAAATGCTACCTTCAAATTTTAAATCGTTATTTGCATTTCAATTCATCATATTTTTGTTTCTCTTTCGTTTTCATTCCATTTTAATTTTTATATTTTTTTCATTAATTTATTTCGTATATTTGGATAACGCTTGCACCACGTGCTAGATATTCGCCTTAGAGATCACAAACTGCAAGCATTTAAAAAAAATCGCCAAAGCACCTTGCCGAATATACTATTAACAATTAAATATTGTTTTCTTAGTTTTTATGTCTATAGAATTGTGCTATAACCTGCATTTCAATTTAAATTACTTATAGGGAAACTTCATAGAATTGTGAACGTGATGATCAAAAATGTTTGATAATCATTTGATCAATACAGCCGTAAATATAAATCAGTCACTGGTTTATTTAAAACAGTGTGAAGTCAAGAAGAAACAACCGAACTTTGGAATAAAACAGACACACAGCAGGACATCGCTTTTAATATAAAAGATTGATGTTAATAAACAATGCCATTCGAGCTCTGCAATGGGCCTGTAATAATTCAAGCGAATGTAAAAAATTACCCGGATCGTATCTAGCAGCTCCACGCCGTTTTGCAAGCTACTGCACTGACCCGTGTTCATTCCGATATCCATAACCTGTCTGCTGGTCATTAGTTGGGACAACAAATCCATATTGTGTTCGTTCGTGTTCTTGACCCATTGGGAATAATTGACAAAGCGTATTGTAGTCTCGATAGGGAAAAAATCATTTTCTGCTATAATTTCCTACACATAAATTTAACTTGTTGGACACACAGACAAAAACAAATATATTACTTTGCTCATGATTTAATAGGATCAGACAGGTTCACGATAGGTACTGAAAGAAGTTTAAGTTATTGACTGTCTACAAAAAAAATCCGAATATGGAGATAAAAATTAACCTTAAAATCGTATTTTCGTCCAAATTTTTATTATTAAATAATAAAAATACATTTAATTTACTAAAATTAAAATCACTTTTAATGCTAATACAAAAACATTATAAAAAGCTTAACTAAATAATAAATACAGACATAGTAATGGCTCTGTTACATTTTCAATATGATTCATTTTTACATCACTTTGTGAACGTTGTAAAACATTAAATTTTGCCAGAAAATATTATATATGTGTTATAATAGAATCTTCTTTTTTTATTACAGTGACTGGATTAAAGGGTGGAAATTGACATTTAATTTCAATTGAGAATTGAGATCAGTATGACCAAGCCTCCGCCATAGGCCTTCATCAATAACATAAATGATGCATTTTTGTTAATTATTCGTGATGGTACTTCCCAGAGACATAAATCCATCCACACAGAACCATTCATCACCCTAAATATACAAATCAAAGCAACAGGCAAGAGAACTACGTGACATAATAACAAAGTCACTTCACAATGAGCTACTAAGAAGTTTCTAGAACAATGCAAATAAAGACGTACAAAATTTAGCACGAGAATGTTTAGTACACATTTCCAACAATGTGAACACAAACACCTACACCCTGCCCTACAAGAATTTGCCGGCATGAACATGCCACTTGCTACGGCCAGGGGGCACAATGTCCACAGGTAGACTACTGGAAACAGAGCCGACCTGCTCGCCAAAGGCGCTACTAAATTTAACTGTACGTAAAGCCTTGACCCCTAAGCATTCATCTCCTCTTATAACCCACTCTAATCAGCACAAAACAATCCCGCAGGAACAAAGACAATACAAAAACACGTCACAAGTCGATGTCGAAGCATTTGATGTGAATGCGACCAAAACGTACAAGATCTTTCACAACCACTACGTAGAAAGCTGTCGAGATGACGCTAGTATAATATCAAGAATGACGCACTGAGCCCTAGCCAGAGTATGTTTGTTACACGTGTTCGTGTGCTTACAAACACCTGCTCCCTGTCCCACAAGAACTCGACGGCAAACTTGTGCCGAACGCTGCGGGCAGAGGCGCGTGTCGTCCACGCGTGAACCCAAAGGTGCACCCGCTCACCAACCGCACTGCTACGACCCAATTGTACGTAGGGCCAGGGGGACCCTATATCGCCCAGCAGTCATGTGCCGACTCACCCCATCAATCTAGCAGCATGAAACAGTCCACTGGTCAATGCCAACTCGGAACCAAATCGCGAGACCTCATAATGTTGGTCTATGCGACTTATAACTCAAACCTCCAGCGCACTGACTACGTAGTAAGCTACTGAGATGCTACTGGAACGATGTCAACAATGACGCACTATGACTTAACAAGAGTGTGCTTGAGCACCTGCTGTTCATGTGCTTACAAACACCTACTCCCTGCCCTACAAGAATTCGCCGGCATGAATATGCCACTTGCTACGGGCAGGGGCGCACAATGTCCACGAAATCACCCACCCGAAGGGGTGACTCGCTCGCCAAAGGCACTGCTTTGTCTTAGATTACGTAGGACATATCCCAATAAAACATCTCCTCTCCAATTTCTCACTCGAACCGACATGCGACGCTTCCAACTCAGGTGCATACATTAATCAACAAAGTAACAAAATTTTGATAGAGAACTTGTGCACTGTTATTGTCTTTGGTGTTTTGATGTTTTAATTCTTATAACACACTGAAGATAAATTAATAGCTTTTACCACACCAAAGTCTAAGATGGATTCATAGTTGAACAATTTATCGCTATGATACCGACTGCACACTTCTCGTTTAAGATTTAAAATCATAATAGGGCAATGAAATTTGACATAAATAAATTTAATCGTTGTCGATGGTTATTAAATTAACATAAATAATTTTAATCGATAGATCTCCATCGCAGTAATCGAGAGAAGTAGAATCTAAGAGTAAAGTGTTAAAATGCTTATGATATATTCTAACAAACATTGCTGTTTAATTTATGCATTGCGCCTAGCATTTGTAACTGCCCTGGCGTTTCTTGCGGGGAACGACCTGGAACAAAGAAATTTAAAGTTTTACCGATCAGGGCAAAAAAATCCTTCTGAAAACATATATTATCGAGAAGTTGTGACTCAGCTTTTCAATGGCTTTGCAAAGTAAATTTTTATTAAAGGCGAGACCATCTAAATCATGGCTTTGTATATTTTAATATTAAATATATAATAACAACTGCAAATGCAATGTTGAACAAGGCGCTGGGACTTAATATCGAGCCGAAACTTTATAAAAAATACCTGCATTGTATTAAGGAGAACAGTGCAGGCCTCCACGCCATCGCACAGGCCCGGCTCTGGTCCGCCGACCGCCATATTGGTTGTCTTCGCTATCGGTGTTGACGTCGGCGAAGTCGGCGGCGCCTCCGCGTTCTTCCCCCAATGGTAACGGCCCTGGATTGGCACCGGCATCTTGGCGACTGGCTCCCTCGACGGATGCACTCTGAAAAATATTTCACGTTACATATACAAAGCATTTCTTTCCACTAATAGAAAAATTAAATTAAAAAGGACGAATCGCTCTGTCGAGTGTCCCGGTGGATTAAGGAAACTATTCCCAAAGACTAATCGATCCGAAAAATAGTCACGCAATAACCACGCCCTTTCGTGAAGGCGTGCCAACTTTCTAAAAAAATGTTGGATAATAGGGCAAATAACGCTGATGTTTTGCATATAATGAGCATTTTAACTGTAGTTAAACGATATATTCCCTCAAATATTCAACAAAATATTTATTATATATTAGAAAAATTCTAATAAATATTGGAAAAGAATTATGATTTTGTTAAAGCATCACTTAGTCTGTGCAGGAACCACTGATTATATTTAAACCGTTAAATAAAGCATTTACTCTGTTATTAACGATTTAACTTACCAATTTACAAACAAAGAGCACCACCGGAGATACAGAAGCAGAGGGACACGTCTAGCCGGCAGCCGCTAATCGCCCAAAGAGACGCTCAGTATCAATATACCTATCTAGCATCTATACAGCTCCCGGACCCAGACACGATCAATACCCGATTCTGGTAGGGTGCAGAGGTCAAAAAGTAGTGTGTTCAAAAACCACCAAAATCTTTTTAGGATTTTAATATTATAAACTTGTATTACGATCGCTATTACTGATAATTTAGTTTAGTTTAATTAATGTATATTTTATTTATAATTTAATATTAAACGCACAATTAAATTTTTTTACGTACTTGTGTCTCCTTTGAACTAAACATATAGTATTAGAATTGTATGTTATGATAAGCTCAAAATAAAAGTGAGTACCTAGTAAACTGTTTCCATAATTTTTCTTTTCTTCAAATTGTCCTTTTTTTATTTTTTAGTTATATAAACTCTTAAAACTGAACGCAGCAGCGTAGCGTATACATGGGTAGTCTGAAAAGTGAACGATCAGCGTCACGATATCGAATCCGATACTTTACTCATGTCACTACTTTTCTATTCCATCCTAGTACTCAAACTAAGCCCCCTAAGCTTGGAAATGAAAGGAGTATCTAGCTCTCGAATCTAGCAATATACATAGGAAACAAGATTTTTTAGGGCTCCGTACCCAAAGCCCTTATAAGATTACTCTCTTGTCCATCTGTCTGTCCTTGTGTCACCACCGATTTTCTCAGGAACGGGTGGACCTATCAAGTTGAAATTTATACCAGATACTATATTGATTTTATACCAGATGTCTACAGGGTGGCTTTTCAAATGGTGCCCATATTTACACAGGAGGCCCAGACTCGGTAGTATAATCGTTTATTGAAATAAATACAAACAATTTTTTTTAAATTGCTGTTCTATTCCCTAAATAACAGAATTTGTTGACAATGCGGTAGTCATTCATAAATGCATCGTATATTATATTAGTATAGAAACGAACTTGTGTGCGTGTTAGTTATGAATTGCTGTTATTTATAGAGTTATATGCGCGATCAGCGCGTATAATAAATCACATTTTGAGATAAGTTCATATGAATGTTATTAATTAATTGTTTATTGTAATATTTTGTATGTTAAACATAATCTTAATAATTATCTAAAGAACAGTGACAGACATAAACTAAATTCTAGAAATAAAGACAAACTAACTACGCCATTTTTTCGTCCACAAAAGTAAATAGGTCGTTCATGGGGCAAAGTGTGCGCATGTACGAGTAATAATAAAATCCCACAGCCGATATTAAGTCTATCACTTGATAAATTTAAACGAAAAATGAAAAGTTTTATGGCTAATTCATATTATACCACTGCGGAATATCTTGACGACGCCGATGTGTGGAGTTTATAAAACCCTGTTAATACTCACTTAGGCTAAAGCACGACTATTAAACCTGTCAACTGATCTTTTTAAAAAAGAGCAACACTGAGATTCTTGCCGGTTTCTTAACAACAGAAACTGCTTTCCAAACCGGTGGTAACTTACGAAAGTATTAATTTCTTTATAAATTTTATTCGCATCGTCATTCATCATCCGTACGGCTAAGGTATAGAACAACCTGCCGGCGTAGGTCTTCCCATCCGATTATAACGTAGGCGTCTTCAAGGCAAGAGTGAATAGGCTTTTACTGAGCTAACGCGCTTACCATCCACGGCTGCATCGCCACTTACCATCAGGTGGGATGTTGATGCGCAGTCAAGCGCTAGTCAGTTCCATATATAAACAAAAATTCGAACTTTCATAAAAACGCGCAAACGTCTATGTGAATAAAGATATTTTGAATTTGAATTAGAAATTTTGAGAGTCTTATTCGATACTTACTCATATGTATACTTTAAGTTTCGATATTATTACTAATTTTAGATACTTAGGTTTGGATATGGATACTATACCGTAAGGTATCGGTACGTTTGGTTGCGATATCGCGTCCCCACCACTAATAAAAGTGCCTCATTCTACAAATAAACTATGTTGCCTTCAAAAATTGTAAAGTAACATTAATTTCGTTCAGTATGATTCGATTTAATAACAAGTAGGTACTTTCGTTTCGGTACCTAAGTAAATATAGAAAGATTGATTCGATGCAAAAAGTACTTGGTATCGAAACAAAAGTATCGAGTACTTGCTCCTATTTACTTGTATCGGAATTTCGATCAGACGCTGATGGTGTAGAGTTATAGACAATAATTTTAAAGACGTGGTAATCTGAATATTGTGTATATAATATGCTGTCAATTTAAAACCCATAATAATATTCATTTGAAAAGCCATTTGACAGCGAATTAGTTGACTTCTACTATGTTCGTTAATTCTTAAACCGGGCGTTAATGTTGTAAATGTTGGATGATTAAATTGTATATTTTTGCTCCACAGTATAACTACAATATATCTAAAGTAAATAAAGCAAAACGTACAGTTATGATTTATGTTACTCTCAAAAATATTAAGTGTGTTAACCTTAAAATACAGTTACTTTTAAGTTTTAGTTTATAATAGGTGTTTTTTGTAGAACCTGAAACTGAATTTTAAAGGTTTATCAAATGTTTCACCGAAACCATAAGCGGGTGGGTAACTTAAAAATATCATTTCTGCACAAATATTTTTGAGCTGTAAACACTGAAAATATATTTTTACAACAATTTCCCATTTCCCGTTCCTTTTCCCCGAACCCGATCGATACAGAGTGGAAGCATTCATTCCTTCCGCTTTTGTGCACTGCAAATCCTCTTTTTACTTTACCTCATTTACCTGATATTTGTATCGCACATACAAATACATAAGGAACCGAATAAATAAAAAATACAAGAAGTACAGTACGGCCTAGGGAAAACGTAAATGAAAACTAGAAATTGTTTAACGTGTCTCGTCTGATCGTCGATCGATCTGGCGATCTGGATTTGAGCAGTTAGAATTAGAACCGCGAGTTGGGAGTTGCTTTTTCTCGAATTAATTTACCGTTACAGTTTAGTGTTGTGTAAAATATTACGTTTATTTAACGGTTATTCGGAGTGTTGGGGTATATGAACATGTCCGAAGATACATCCGCGAATCGCAATGTCGAGATGTGGAAGATCAAGAAGCTCATCAAGAGTTTGGAAATGGCAAGGGGGTAAGATTTGAACGATTTCTTGCCTCATAATATAAATTGATTTCATGCAGGTTAAAGGATCGGCACTATTAAAAAAAATATAATTCATTAAGGATATCCGCCATTTTGATCCTGTCAATATGATAAATGTAGGTAATGGCGATTACATAACTACCTAGGTGCCTAAAGAAACTTATAAAAATAACTCACATTTTTGTATTATCTAATGCGATCTATGATAAAAGTTCAGCAAATTTCGATCTTCACTAAGAAATTTTAATGATTTAACGTCAAAAACATTGTGTATTCTTGTACTGACAAAATCAGTATGTCTTATCTATGGCCAAAATGCTATACCTATCAGATTGAAATGGAATAAAATAGCAGCTTAAGGGCTGTGATTTAGTTTACGGTAGCATAATTTTCGTGATAATTTTAATAGGTAGGTAGTCATTGAAGTGAATACTAGAAGGATTTTTTGCAAAAATTCAGTTTTCGAAAAATTTATTTTTTAAGTTTTATAGATGTTTTATAACTACTAGGAATCATTTAAGAGTGTTTCGTATTTGGGCCCAAAAGATTTACATAATTACATACTAAAACATTAGAAAGCGGCAACTTAATGAATACATTATTTTTTAACTCATGTTATTTCAGTCCGCAAAATTATTTTTGGCTTTCGGTAAATCTTTGCCTTCAACGGAAAAAGGGACTGAAATAGAAAACATAACAGAGGTAAATTATTATTTCATGGTCTTTCAAGTTTTTTGATATCATCATTTTAGTTGACAGCCCAATTCAGAACAATCCAACTCACACAGATTAGGTTAGAAGAATTAGCCTTGGTTGTTATTTTTTTTATAACCACCCAGAAATGGAGCCGCTAAGGAAGAGCCTCCACGTACCACCATCTGATTCTAATTAGCACCATAGTAACATTGCATAGGTTAGGGTATTTTTTTATTTCAGAAACAATACATTTTTGTGACCCCCCCCCCCCCTCCCCGGGGTTCACGCCTCCCCCCTCCCCTCCCTCACCCTAAGCATACTACCGTATACTAAATCAATACTGCATTAAGTGCAAAAAGCATTGTTTTTATTTGAATAACAATATATCTTATTTTTATTTTAATAAATACAAGGTTAGGGGAGTTTAGCTTTTTTTTTCACATAAAAATTTAACACAATTGCAACTTGTATAAATAAACATAAAAGTAGGATCTTTTATTGTAACTAAAAGAGAAACAATAAATTCTTATCTGATCATGTTAGATAGTCAGTCACACCTACACATAAAATTACATTTTCCGGACACATTGACATTTCAAACAGCACTATTTTGATAACCTGTCTTTTTTGTTGCCGTCAGTACATTTGGAAACTGATAGTTGCCCTCAAAGATAGTTTTCCTTGAAAGATGCACATTCTGTTGTGTGTTCCGAAGACAAGTTAATTTATAAGATTCAAAGGGAAGGCAATTATAGGACAAGGTCTATGAATAAAATAAAAAAGTGCAATAAAGAGGCTCAAAGTTTTAATCTCTGTTTTAAAAGCACAGACTCCTGCTGTATTTCATATTTTAAAATACTAATTTGGGAAACATTTAACACTCCTTGTCTAAAAATATATTTGGAATCTGTAATAATTAATTAAGACTAGAATAAATGAACCATATAATATAATTTTTGAATTTGAGCTAGACTCTTGAATACTCTTAGCGCTCTTAGCTGGTATTACAAAGTCTGCATTGACAAAACATAGAATAGAAAGTTATGTACATTATTTATATTGTAAATTTTGATATACAGTATTTAATGCTTTATTTCTTGCAAAAGATCACTTCTACAGCAATAGATGATTTTGAAACTTCTCTAGTCACTAAGACGCTAATTTCCTTCTGGTCTCTCTGATCGGCATTATTTACTGCTCTTTAAGTGCTTTCCCACAATATCTTAAT